CCCCCCCCCCCCCCCCGCTCTGGCTTTGAACTGCGAAAATAGGCCAAGATGTGGGTCTACATGGGGCTGATCCGAGTCTTCACCAAGCGAAAAGGGCACCCTCCGGATTTCACGGATCCCGTGATTCTTAGCTCGGAAAGGAGCGGCACGAACGTGAAAGCGGCGGCACAGCACATCTCGAGGGAGATGATCGACGTTTTCAACTACGCGCTGGTGAGAGAATGGAGGACGGTCTTCTCCTGCCTTGGCAGCTTACCGTGGTCGACGCAAGATATTACCCCCCCTGGAGCAATTGTCGGAGCTCGTTTCTTCCACGGCAGAAAGAGTGGTGGCGTCGAGAACAGTGGCTTTGGAACAGTCTCGTGGAGAGCTTTCGAAAAAGTATTGTTTGATTTATTTATCCTCTTCGCCGCCGAGCTTTGAAGGTCGGTCCAGGGGATGTCATGCCTCACATTATGTCACCCGCGATATCTGCCATGGTCCAGCACCGTGCCAGTCGTGCGGTGCACGTCAGCAGCCCTGGCTGTGGCGCCGAAACTCATAGGATAGCGAAGCGGGCAAGTTTGAAGCAGGGTTGTCCTCCATGTATCATTGGAGAGAACGGCTTTTTATTGCCACTTCTCAAGCGGTTTTCGCTCAACGAAGCGCATGATACAAAGCCTATAATAGTGCACTATCCGCTGCCTCTATTGCGGGTATGGACCGTGTCCCGAAACATGCTCAGACAGACAGTCAGCAGCGGGGATCATACGACAAGTGTGTAGGCAGGTGCCGAGGCGTGGACCTTGTAGCCGACCGCTTTTGTATCGTGTACGTTTGCTTGCTTTTCCCGGAGGACAATACTCAAACATTCGAGTCACATATGTTGTAGCCTTCGTTGGCATCGTGTTTGTCCTACTGGTGGTCTTGGTCCATACCATTTTTGGTATCAGATCTCCGGGGATGATGACAGCAACAACACCTTACTCATTTTTTTTTTTTTTTCGTGTGCCCGGTCTTGCCCCGAGCAGGTGTGGGGACGCAGCACGAAGCACGACCCAATGAGGTGCGGCCTGGCACACCAGCTTCAGGACGAAGACGTGCTTCAGATCGTGCCCAAGACTATCACCCAGCAGGTTCGTGGCCCAGGGAGAGCTTTCTTGGCTGGGCGACCGTTCGTGCCGATCAGCATGCTGTTTAGGCCACGCACCCACACATTAGATGTGGCACCACATGCTTGTGAGATTACTTTGTTTTTAAATGAAAATCGAAACAATGGAGCGTGAGCAAGGAATGAAAATCGAAATTCTGGAGCATGAGCTTGGACCACCTTTTGTCGGCGTTGTTTGGGCGATATTTCGAGGACCAGATGAGTCGGCCAGCCGTCCTTAGGGCACTGCTCAACACCATTTGCAATTCAGAAAGAGGTGGGCGATTGGTAGAGAACGCGCAGCTCGCCCATTCGACAAACACAACTGCTGTCCTTCTGTTCGATGCTTTACGGGCCCAGTTGATCGCAGGAAACAAAGAGCCCGCCAGCACAGCAGCCTATGTAGGGTCTTGCTTAGCTACTTTCGCAATATCGCTCGTGCGCAGAGCGGAGTGTTGCCTCGCCCTCATATTGCCTCACAACGGACACACACATTTTCTCTTCCTTGCTTGTTCGCCGCACGTGTCGCCTCCCTGTCTACCCGACTTCTGTTTGTTTTTTCGTCAGAAACGGTCCAAGGGGTACGTCAAGATAGCGCAGAACGCGAAAGACGCGCTGGCCACTAGGCGAAAGAAGAAGCCGCTCAAGACGTGATTTCATTCATTCGTTCATTCATTCGTGCCGATCGAAACGACCGGCATGAAGTTTCGTTGCTGTGGACTTCCGATCATCCATCCACGACAAACCCACTCGGTCCACGGAAAAAAAATGTGTACAATGCACACGTGTATCGATGAACCTTTTGGTCAAGATTGGGCGAACTGCTGTCCCTTTGATACATATTTTTTCTGGATACGACACGTGGGTGCGTTTAACCAGTTGCCCCGAAATGGCCTCGGTTTCGCGGAACCTCAGTGCGCGTAGCCTAGTGTGTTGTTTTTCTTACGGAGGAGAAAGAAGAGACCGTAACGCGGCCATGTCCTTCTTCATGCCTCCCGATGAATCAGCCCCGACCAAAAACTGGGCCTCCCGCAAGAATTCAAGTAGCAGCGGCGCCCTTGCGATGGCCACGCCCGGTGCAGGCGGCGGCCTGTGTCCTTTGCGGGTGGCGTGGCCGGTCCGTAGCTTGTGCTTGTTCTTGGAGCGTCTCGCGAGCGCTTCGTCGGCGACCTCGACCACCATCGGAACGACGGTCAGCATCGCGGCTCGAGGATCGCCCTGACGTCGGGGATGATTTTTTTGTTGTCGCGAGAAAGGATTGATTACACCAGCGTGTGGGAAGAAGGAGCGTACGTGTCGGGATGAGGTGGGCGACGATTCCTGGCTGTCGAAGAAAAGAGGGTACGTTGGCTCGCCGACAGCCGCAAGATTTCACTAGTTCGCATGGCGTGGACGCTTTCAGTTATGGACATCGAGTGACGTGGGTGGGACCTTTTGGTGTCGAGTTTTGAAGGATTCTCACGTGGCTGTTTCTCTTTCTTCTAGACGACGTCAAGCCGCGCACGCCGCGATGTCATTTTGAGGAAAGGAACAGGCCGGGTGTGTAACGTTGGAGCTCGGCTCTCGAGCATCGATAGAATACAGAGACTGGACGTGTTAGCGGGGCCCTGTACGATGAATTCATCCTTTCAATTTTTGGAGCTTCGCTTGTATCTCCCGCATCAATCAATGCCCTGGGCCTTGATTTTGATTGTATGTTCCCCATTTTCAAGACGGAGGCTGGCTGTGTCGTTTGACAATATCCTCCACGAGTGATGACTGTTGAGAACCACGATGACCGAGTTCGTGGCTTTGCAGCTAGACGGACTAAAGAATTTGTTGAGATCCACGAGAACCACTCGACTACCAGTCAGCACCAACCTGTGCCTTCGTCCGAACCTCTGCCAGCTTCTTCTTGAGGGGCTGACGCTCGCACAGCGTCATGATGTCGCGCAGCATGCCTTTCGCCTCCGAAACAGTCAACACCTGGGAATGAAGGATGTCGAGTATTAGGTAAGCTCGACGCCACGAAGAAAAGCTTCCCAGCGAATTGACGGTCCTCGCAAAACGCCGAACATTGTTGTTCAATTATAATATTAGATATTCCGTTGATTTCCGTTTTCCGACGACCGACGTGGAAGAGACCATGTACCACAAGAGTTGAAAGGGCGTGCAGCAACGTCATTGTCGTGTTCTTTTTTTTTTTTTCCTCTCACGCAAGACTACGGAGAGATGCAATAATCTGCAACGTGAGAATGAGAGGAGTGGGTGGGGCGATCACAGCAAGGACAGCGCACGTGCCGCCCGTGTTGAAAGATATTCGGTGCAGAACGGACGTTGCCACTCATTTTAATTCCGCGCGCAAATCACTGCAAGCTCTGTATCCCCCGCCCCCTTCTCTCCCGGAACGCCATTTCTTCAAGGTCGCATATAATCAGATCGCCCCATTCCCGTCCTCTCGGGAAACCAAAGGCGGAATCCCCAGCACCGGTTCAACATGCGAACATGTCTTGCGACATAAGATCTTGAGAGAACATGAGAGCACGAGTAGCATAAATGTGCCGTCCTTGCCTCTCCGTCGGAGTCGCTCGCGTCTGAGTACGAGCTATCCAGAGATGATCGACGGTTCTCGCCCATTCCTCACTTTGCTAGTGTTCCCGATACGTGGACAATGTTCTGTTCCAGCTACTGCTGCTGCTGTACCTGTGGAAACAGAGAACACGTCTTGCAAGGCCTGAGTTGTTTGACACCCCCTCGAAAGAGGTTCATCGTTGTCTGTAGACCCCCCACAGCGGTCCAAGTTCACCTGCAAACTCATGGCAACGTCTTGCGGCCAGCTCGTGCACACGGCGGCGTGAGCCGATATTCCGCTCCTAGGGTTGCCATTGAACGATGCCGATTCGTGAGCTGAGTGTGGAGCTCGTTAGCGACATCGTTGAGAGCTATGGACAAATCACCAAGCTCAACCTGTCGACAAACGGTGAGCTGAGCAAGACCGCACCCAACGGCTGCTTTTCTCTTCTTCTTCGACAGGGTTGCAGGTTGCTGTAGCGCGAGGGTCGCCAGTGTGTTGATGTCGGCTACCTGACTACTCTGCTTCCAGTGCTGTTGGGTGCCTGTTGGGTGCATGTCGCGGTTTTCACTATTTCCCATGTATCTGGTACAGCAGCATCGTATGCGGCGTAATTTGATTTTTTGAAATCACGCACGGTGTGTCACTCCTGTCTGCGCTGCTGGCTCTTTTCTCAAGGGAGCCGCTGCAGCAGTACATATTTCTCTCGTAAAAGAGGTACATAGCGTACTACTGCTGTACATGCAGCATATCTACGGGATGTACAAGGGATCGCGGATTCCGTATGGGTCTGCTGCTCTGCTTCATGTTGCAGTGTTTCCATTCGAAAACGTTGAAATGTGTTCGCAGGCTCGCCCAGACGTCCCATTGTGCAAACTGCATGTACAGTATCTTTACCTTTATCTTTATCGTGTCGGAGGCCGGAGGCTGGGTGTTTCAAGATTCATACTTCATCCTTGGGTGGTTATGTACTGAATTCAGCCAACACCCACAACGTCTATCCCCTGTTTCCGTTGCAACTGCGCATGGCACTCGTGCACAGAAAAATAGAAGGGTCTGTGTACCAAGCGGCCGCAAGTGGCCAAATGCTAGCCCCGTCTTTCTTAGTCGGTCCCTGGCTTCTGGTCCGAATAATGAATAATGTCCAGGATCAACGAGCGATGGAGATTCAGAGTTCCCATTTGAAGCGTTGAAATATGTTCGCGCGTGTATAACATGTTACTTGAGAAAGTTTGAGGAGATTTTCAGACGTATCCGTGAGTTGGGGTATTACACCCAAAAACAACACTAGCCGGTCCTAATTTTGCCGACACCCCCTTTTGGGCGTGTGACACCACAGACGTCGTGCGGCTGTTGAGTTGGACCCGCCTGCTGCCTCGAGACTTTGTACCATGTTACAACTCAGGATGTCTTCTACCCCGTCCCTTCTCCCGCTGCCAGAGATATCCCGCGTCGAGAACCTGGAGAGACTGGCTCGTCTTTCAAACCTCGACCTCTTCTGCAACCGACTGGGGTCCGTCCCGGGTAGCCTAGACGGCCTGGCGCTTCTGACGCGCCTCAAAGACCTCGACATCTCCGAAAATTCAATGTAAGACACTTTTACGAAGGAAGGCAAACGGCCTTCCCCAAGTGTTTTTCCAGCATCGCCCAACGCATGACCTTTCGAGCCCACTGCCTTTTCAGGAGAGCTCGATTTCTTTGCATGTTACCCACATTTTTGTCCAATGCACCGAATGCGACCCCGTTCCAGTTCTCCCTTGCCTAGCCCCTCCTTGACCTTGCGTGTGCCATGGGCGTCTCTCCTGAACTGCGAATAAGCGAGGATGGGGCGTCAACTTCCTTCTTTTTTACATGCGCATTGGCGATGTGGCGCTTTCTATCACCACGTACTTGATGTTAAGAGTGTAGACTCGTCACTGAGGTTCGAACGCGCTTGCCGTAGGCACGCGCACGCTTGAAGGTTAGGTAGACTTCCCTCTGAACCATCGAAGAGGTGCGGGAATTACCTTTGTCTGGCGTTCCCGCGCACGTCGCCTACGCTACTCCAAGCAATCGCTCGTGCATACCACGCAGCATAGCGCACACGCCGTCGTTGAGGTCGCCGTCGTCATTGCACCCCCCCTTTTTGACTCGTCTCGTTGCTGTCGCCCCCC